CATGCCTTGTAAAAATTCATAAAAATGTGACTGAGCAACGAGTAACACTGTTTCAGCGCAGATTTTCCTCGCGCTTTGGACTTTGAACCCTGGTTAACAAGCAGATCTGCTGAGAGCTCGTGCAGCGCTGTCAGAATACATGCAATGTACGCGTGTATTAGAAAACATGACGTTCTGCAGTTTATTTAATAATTGTTTAAGGCCATTTCGTGATTTCAATCATCATACAGTAACCAGCAACAATCACCCCTTCCTCTTCTCATCGAAGACATGCGATGCAGTCCTAAACAGTCTCTCGCTGTCGGTGCTTGTAATGATTTTTGCGTCTTTCTCCGGCTTGATGCACTCAGCATGAGAAGGGTTTTCTCTGCGCAGCATGGAGATATGAGACTCTGCAGAGGTCACGGCGAGGCTCCTCAAACTTCACTAGACTTTCAGAGTGACTGATAAACCAGCTGAGATCCAGAAATGACTGGACGGAGCTCCACGAGGTCATTTCCCCGACGGGGGACGTACCTGAAGACGTGGGGTCCTCTGAGAAATCGTGGAGGTCTTCAGGAGGGTCGCCATAGAACGAGTTGAACTTGTGACTCGAGACGGCAGCGAGGACGGCGCCCTGTGAATCACACACACAAACTCATCTCGATTTCATTCATTACACTGTCAGATTCAAACAGGACATTTGATGGAATCATCTCGACGAACCGCAGACGTTTGACATTTGCACTCCAGAGATCTCACAAACATATTAGATCATCAAACCGCACGTCTTCACCTTTACACAGGCTCATCAACACCTCTCTGCTCCAACAGTCACGCACCTGACTACATCTTTGAAGAATCAGAGCAAAACATCCCTCGCTTTCATGTGGCGAACACACTCTGTCAATGAGAACTTAACCTGAAACCAGCAGAACTGCTGCAGAGCTTGATGTGTTTAACGCTCTGACAAATCCATTACTGGATTACTGGATTTTAAATCAATCTACAGAAATGAAATATTTTAGAAACCCCATTTTATATATATATGGTGACCGAGTGAAAAGGTGAAAACGCCTGTGCTTTCTGGTCTATTTAGTTGAAATGGATCTGAAAAACAGCTCAATTTGAGGATTATCACTAGATTGAAACCACAATGATTGTGAATGTGGTGCTGCGAAAGCACCAGGGTTCATTTTCTTGATGACCGTTTTCATCAAGATGATCACTACATAAAAAGCATAACTTTGCGTAAACAGTCGTTTAAATGAACACAAACAGTTGCATTTGGTCTTAAAGTGACAGCAGCCTAATATCCTGCTGCCGTCTGTGTCATTAATGTTAATCAAACAAGAAAAGGGAAAGAGAAAATCACTCACTGCTCTTTACTGAATCACTTTAACAGCAATTCATCGTTAATTTCTATAAATAAATATGTCTGCTTGAAAGAATGAAGAATGCTGTATGCAAATTGTTATAAATAATGCATATATAACCACTGGCCTTTCACTGAAAATAAGACCATGTTCCTGTTTTTGTTTTTACGGAGAAGTGGTTTTGATTTCATTTTAAGATAATAAAGTCATGTTATACGCCACAACAGTGAAATCTGAGTCTGTGTTGCACATTCAAACCTTAATATCAGTCATATTAACAGGTTCACAGATGTGGAGTCTATAATGAGTTTGGAGATTTTAGAGAAAAACCATTATGTTTTGGGTCAACTAAATCTACTGTATGTTTAGTTTACTAAAATGTGACACTGTCTGTGAAAACCCAGCTAAAGTCATTTTTTGGTGATCTACTGTTTTCTATATAAAATCATCCTTCATGAGGTAAAGAACATTCTGTGAAAACGTAACATTGATATCTTTATTACTGACTGAGTAAGACCATGTCAAAGACTGAAATCATAGTGAAATTAATGGTTGAAATCAAACTTTGATGCTTGTTATCTCATAATTAGATTTTGAGACTTTAGCCTGGATTTCACAGAGAGGGTCACAAATATTATGATATTTAGTCTGTAGTCTAAAACAAACAGCTCGGATGTCTAAAATATGACTAAAACTAAATCCAAGTTATGCTGTCGGGGGTTTTTCTTCCTTCCTCTGGTTATGTTCACGGCGAGAACCAGGTTTAGTCATTCAAAATTAAAACTAAATAAGATGCTTAATATTAATTTTCATTTCTACTTGATTAAAAACCTTTTCAGAAGTATCCACAGAATGAAACAAGTTTCTCGCAGTATTATTGTTTAATGGACAGATGGACACTTCGGGGGATTTTCTACGCTGTTGAAAATATGTTGGGCTCTTGTGGCTGTGTGACACGAGGAATTACTGCACGATTACTGTAAATACCTTCAGTTTCCTCCGAGAGTTGAACTTCCTCAGCTGCTCCACCGTCTCGGGCAGGTGGATCTTGTACGAGTAGCGATCTCTCTCCTGCACGACACGCACAAACATGAGACAAACTCAACCCGATACCATGCTTGAATGTCACAAACAGGAAGTGACTTATACAGGAGGAGAAATGACAATCAGTTTAATTTTGAAGACAATAGCAGCAGGAGGGAAGTTAGCGTGCGTGACCTTGAGCCAGGGATGGTTGAGCGCCTCATAGACGGTGATTCTCTCGGCCGGGTCCAGCATTAGCATGCGTCGCACCAGGTCTTTAGCGCTCTCAGAGATCTGACTCCACTGCCGTGGGTTCATCTGACAAACAAACACACCGCTGAACCACACAAACACTTCATCCAGCTGCAGTTATATATGTGACCCTGGACCACAAAACCAATCATAAGGGTCAATTTTGTGAAATTGAGATTTATACAACATCTGAAAGCTGAAAGCTAAGCTTTCCATTGATGTATGGTTTGTTGGACAATATTTGGTCGAGATACAACTATTTGAAAATCTGGAATCTGAGGGTGCAAAAAAATCTAAATATTGAGAAAATCATCTTTAAAGTTGTTCAAATGAAGTTCTTAGCAATGCATATTACTAATCAAACATTAAGTTTTGATATATTTACGGTAGGAAATTTACAAAATATCTTCATGGAACATGATCTTTACTTAATATCCTAATGATTTTTGGCATAAAAGAGAAATGTATAATTTTGACCCATACAATGTATTTTTGGTTATTGCTACAAATATACCCCAGCGACTTAACACTGCTTTTGTGCTGCAGGGACACATATGATATTTCTATCTCGTTTCCAAGCACAAATATCTAAAATATATTAAAACAAGATTCCTTTACTTGAGATGCACAATGACAGAAGATAAGAAGTCTTTCAGCATAACACAAGAAGAAATATCAGCCAGTGGGGTAGATTAAATGTGAAATTAAATTTCTCTATTATTTAAAAACAAAGTTTCTTTTTCTGACCCCATTGGCAGATATTTTTTGTTGTTTTAATCAAAAACTCGGAATCTCTCAGAAAACAAGTCTTCTTATCTTCTGTCATTAAGTGAATTGATTTAAGGATTTTTAGATATCTGCACTGCAGAAAACACACTGCAAAAAAAAAAAGATTTTCTTCCTCAGTATTTCTGTCTTGTTTTCTAGTACAAATATCTAAATATTCTTGAATTGAGATACATATACTGGAGAAGCTAAATGATTTTAGATATTAAGGGCCAGTTGCATAAACAGTCACCATGTTAAGACTGTGTCTTAAGAACTAGTTTGACTAACTAGCAGTTAACCAACTGGTCATCAGTCTAACTTTTTTTTGAGATTCAAATTTGATCAATCTACGTTTTTATGTAACTGACTTTAAAAAGTTTAAAGTTTAAGACTAGTTTAGCAGCTTTTGTAACTGGCCATAAGTCGTTTCCTAAAAAAAATGTATCAAAATTTTGCTAGATTTTGTTTAAAACAAGAAATAATATCTGCCAGTGGGTTAAGAAAAATAATCTTAATTTAAAGGGAAAACAAGACTATTTTTCTTGCCGCATTGGTAGATATGTTTTCTTAATTTAAGAAATAACACTTCATTTAGACACATTTTTCAGAAAACAAGACTTAATATCTCTGTTATTTTGCATCTCAAGTAAATATATCTTGATTTAAAAATGTTTAGATATTTGTATTAGAAAAAGAAAGAAAACCATTTGTTTGCAGTGCAAGCAAAAACACGGAGGAAAACGTCCCTGTCTGCAGTGTTTATAGGCAGATCCATGCTCAGACATGGAACCTCAGAAGTGCCTGATCAAGTGCACTACATAGGGAGCACAGACTCTACATAGACTCATAAGATTTAATCCATACGTCTCTGTATTGCATAAAACAAAATAGCATTGTCTATTCTCTCAATGCTAGATGTTCTCCGGTCGTCACAAAGCATTCTATCCCTTCTCCACATATACACACTACCAGTCAAATGTTTTTGAACAGTAAGATTTTTAAAGTTTTTAAAGAAGTCTCTTCTGCTCACCAAGCCTGCATTTATTTGATCAGAAATACAGCAAAAGCAGTCAGATGAATAGAAATTTCAGAAGAACAGCATTTATCTAAAATATAAATCTTTTGTAACATTATACACTATACCGTTCAAAAGCTTGGAGTCAGTATATATATATATATATTTTTTTTTTAGTTTGAACGACTCAAAACATGCTAAATGTAAAAAAATAAACCACTTTTAGCATGCATCGATGAAGGTCCTCATGAGTGTTTATGTGCGAAGCGTCATGCAATCATTTCTGAAATGTCAGCAGTCGTCAGACACACAGAATTATGATTAATCAAGCTTTAAATGAACATTTTTAATTTTACTATTTACAGCAAAAAAATCTAATAATTATCAAAATGAAATCCTTTGCATTACAAATACATGCAAAAAATGTGAAAGTAATTTCTTAGCAGACGGCTTCATTCAGAGCAACATACAAATTAATATAAGCAGAAGTGGTTTACGAAAAAACCACACTAGAGCAGAAGAGCACAACAAAAGTGCTGGTTAGTGAGTCGAATGTTCCCGGTAATGATGTAAAACGAATGACTGAACTATCTCCAGCTGTAAATTAGATGTGATTAGATTCAATTTTATTTTCACTGTGCAAAATACAAGTATGTATATGCAATGTGCAGAGTACATATATGTGCATTAAATATCATTATGGTTTTCTATAAAGTGAAGGTTATGAGATGAGCGCAGCTGTAGAATGAGCCACTCTACACTCTTAAAAATAAAGGTGCTTCTAAAGCTTCTTCACAGCGAAGCCATAGAAGAACCATTTTTGGTTCCACAAAGAACCATTCAGTCAAAGAACCATCTCTTTCTTATGTTTTTTTAATCTGAAGAACCTTCTTTCGCCACAAAGAAGCCTTTGTGAAACAGAAAGTTTCTTCAGATGTTTAAGGTTCTTTATGGAACCATTTAGACAAAAAGGTTCTTCTAATCTATGGCATCGTGAAGCACCTTTATTTTTAAGAGTGTACAGTTCTAAAACACACATTCATGAAAGATGCAAGGAGAGTTTTATTCAAACACATGCTCATCCAGAAAAGAGCTGCGAAGCAATTCCAGCTTTCTTTAAATAATTTAACAAAGCTAAAATGATCTGGAAGGAAGGAATGGAAAATCGGTTCCCCGAGAGCAGCTCCTGGGACGTTTGCCTGACCATGATTTACACTCTTCCTTCGGAGCCAGAGTGTTCTCTCATTTCATTTTCATTGGGCTGAGATGGAATTTTCCCCTGTTGTTCAGTACAGTGAATTAAAACGTGTCTGACTCGCTGTTTCTCCCCCCAGAGCTGAAGACTCGAGCAGAAAGACTTCACCCCGATCGCTCACAAGGAGATAAAAACACAAGCATCCTGCCGAACACGATGAGCACCGTCTGGCCGACTGACCGCTTCACCAACCACACCTTCAGCAACCGCTCGTGTCCTCTGGAGGAGGAGAACCTGCGGCTCCCGCTGGCGGTGCTCTACTCGCTCATCTTTCTGTTCGGTCTGGCAGGAAACCTGCTGGCTCTGTGGGTCTTCCTCTTCCTGCACTCGCGCAGAAACTCCGTGCGCGTCTTCCTCATCAACGTGGCGCTGGCGGACCTGGTTCTGCTGGCGTGTCTTCCCTTCCGTGTGCTGTACCACGCTCAGGGGAACGTGTGGTCGCTGGGGCCGCGCATGTGCAAGGCGGTGGGCAACCTGTTCTACATGAACATGTACGTCAGCATCACCCTGATGGGTCTGATCAGTCTGGACCGCTATCTGAAGATCATCGGCGTGCGGGGCTCTCAGAGGGGCTGCGGGCTGCGCTGGCTCAGGGGCAGCCGCTGGAGTCTGGTGACCTGCGTTCTGCTGTGGAGCGGCTCTCTGGTGATGGTGGTGCCTATGATCGCGCTGGCCGAGGGCAACGAGGAGCCGGGGAAGTGTTTCCAGTACAAGCAGAGAAAGCACGCTAGAGGCAAAGCCTACTTTAATCTGTTCTTGGTGGCGGTGTTCTGGATGGTGTTTGCAGTGCTGCTGGTTTCATACGGACGGATCGCACGCAGACTTCTGCGAGCATCGCAGGACAAACCGGACCTGCCCAATGCCTCGCGCTACGCACGCACCGCTAGGAAATCCTTCGTGGTTCTGCTTCTCTTCACCATCTGCTTCGTGCCGTATCACGCCTTCAGGGGCTTCTATGTTGCTTCGCAGCTCCGAGATGTTAGCTGTGAGACACGGCGGCTCATGGACCTCACCAACGAGCTCATGCTGCTGTTCTCGGCTCTCAACAGCTGCTTGGACCCCGTCATGTACTTCATGCTCTCGGGCTCGGTGCGCAAGGCCACCACTCGGGCCTTATCGCAATTCCTACGCTTGCACCAGGAACCTGCGACGACCAACAGCTCGACCACGGAGTTTCGGCGGACGTCTGTGTCACACGCCTCCAATGCTCCGGTGCTGGTCACATCCAGAGGCAGCCTGGGACTCATTACGACGACCCTCCGCCTTCAGCGGTGACGGAGAGTCCTGTCCGCAGATCACGGCTCTGTCAAACTGATCGAGCTGCACCGTGAGACGAAAGAGTTCACCCACATACTTGCATGGGAAAAGACTCACTGGTGTGAAACAATGACTAGCTTGAAAAGTCTGCGTGGGAAAGTTCTTGAGACGTCACTTCGAGGGGGGCATATGAGGGATTTATGGCTGGACACAGGAGATTGCCACACATCTGGTCTGAGATTTGAGATCTCAAACTCATTTCAAGTACAACAGATGAACACTGACTGGATGAAGGCCGCCTCCTGCTGGAGAAAGAGAGTTACTGCACCTCCTTTCAGCATTTTACAGTGGACTGTTCCTTCATAAACCAGAGCTGTGCAAAAGGAACCGCTGCCACTCCTCATGTAAACCACTGGCCAGTGATAGTTTGATTTCACACAGCATGTTCATCTGTAAACACAGCAGCTGCTGAGTCAGTGATCTCATGAACTTCAGACGCAACCGAGCTGTGTCCAGCTGAAGCGCCAATCTGACAATAACCCCACTTTAATCACAGATGGACATTAGACGGGGTTCCTGACGGTGCAGCTCATGTCAGCGGTTATCTGTGACCACGAGCTGTTGAAGATCACCGTGACATGACTGACTTCTCAACTGTTTCTAAATTCACGTAGCTCAGACTGTAGAGTAACACCAGTCATGGGTTTGATTCCCAGTGAACGCACGAGTGAAAGTGTCTGCCAAATGCATAAAAGCAAATGTCCTTTTTAAAGTATATTAAACAGGGGAATAAAGCATTATTAAGAGTGTTTACAGTTTGTTTCTCACTTAACACTGATATTAATAACTGGCTCATGGCTCAAAAAAATGCAACAAAGAAAAGGACACACATGTTTTGCCTAAATTAACTCTAGGTTTATTAACAAAATAGAAAATAAAACTAAAGTGTGCTAATGTAGTCACGAGTCAGAGCAGTAATGTAGAGTAAAGTGCATTGATGGAGCGTAACGTGCTGTAGCAGCGATGTAAAACCACAAAGTCTGCGAATAAAAATGCAACTCAAAGAGTGGTAAATGGCTCCTTTTAAAGAACACAAGGTGTGTGTGATGAAGCCATTTACAAAGGAATCGTCCATCTACCCTACAAAACCCCAGGAAGAGCCTTAAGTGTACTTCACTCTTTTATCAACACTTGAATATAGGTAGGTTTCATAAAAAATGCATAATTTTGAGCAAAAAGGTGAGAAAATCACATTTTTATCAAAAACTACATCTGGATAATATTCAGTACGATTATCAAAGCATAAATCCAGTAAATCACTTCACCTCCCAAGCTTGCACAGACATATACCACTTCCTGGATCAACATTTTACTCCGTAACATTTTGCAGTTTTCATTTATATGCTGTCTATTGCTGATGATTTTCATATGCATCTGTTTGCATAAGAGATGGCTCGTTTCTCCGTCCTGTTCACCTGTGTTTTTGTTCGAGAGGTTTTGTACTCGTTCAGAAGATGCGTAATAGCGCCCCAGAGTGTATAACAGTGAAAGCACGGAAAGCCGTAAAAACCCGTCTTTGGCGGGGAAGCGTTTTCTTGTAAAAGTCGAGATAACTCGCCAATGACGGGGAAAGAGTTAAAAGCGAAAGTCACAGGTTAGGGTTAGTGAGCAGTAATCATTTAAGACGAGTCTCACCTTGACGTCTCTGTGAATGACGTTGTTATCGTGGCAGTAGCGCAGAGCTTCAAGTATCTGTCGCATGTAGTGACTGAGAACACAAACAACACACAGCCTGAGCACAAATCTTCAGCAGCGGGAGTGTGTGTGTGTGTGTGTGTGTGTGTCTGTGTGTGTGAGAGTGTGTGTGTGTGTGCGTGCGTGCGTGTGTGTGTGTGAGTGTGTGCGTGCGTGCGTGTGTGTGTGTGAGGTGAACAGGTAGTGATTCTCACCTGGACACAGCCTCGCTGTAGACGAAGCCGGCATCGGCCCTCTTCACGATCTCGAAGCACAGATCAGCTCCATCCATACTGCACACAGACACACGCGGTTTAATAATGCGGCGGATGAATTTAAATGTGAGAATGATGAAGAAACATTGTTTAAAAACTTGTGGATGCTTGTCAGAAAAGTTGAAGCAGTTGAGTTAGTGGCTTACAGAGCAACAACACAACTTGTTTTGTTTTCTAATACAAGTGTGATTATTTTGAGTCCGCTGTGTGAATCTGTTTTTACACTGATATCAGACTGATTCATTAAATTTGATATGAATTATCTGATCTTTTGAAAATAGGAGTTTATTCACTGGAATGTACAAAAATAGGCATTAGCACATGACCATTTGTGAGCCTGGAGCACAAAACCAGTCTTAAGTGTAAATATTTTGAAATTGAGATTTATACATCATCTGAAAGCTGAAAGCTTTGGCTGAGATACAACTATTTGAAAATCTGGAATCTGAGGGTGCAACAAAATCAAAATATTGAGAAAATCATCTTTAAAGTTGTCCAAATGAAGTTCTTAGCAATGCATATTACTAATCAAAAATTAAGTTTTGATATATTTATGGTAGGAAATTTACAAAATATCTTCATGGAACATGATCTTTACTTAATATCCTAATGATTTTTGGCATAAAAGAGAAATTGATAATTTTGACCCATACAATGTATTGTTGGCTATTGCTACAAATATACCCCAGCGACTTAACACTGCTTTTGTGCTCCAGGCTCACATTTGATAAACAATTTTTCCATTAAATCTGAATTTCATTGAACAGCATGACTGTGATATGAAATGGCTCATGTTTTATTTATAAGATCCCACAGACACTTACAACTCAAAGACCATGTAGAGCATCCCGTCGGAGCTGTAGGTCTCCAGCAGCTCCACGATGTGAGGATGTTTGAGCATGTGACAGATACTCGCCTCCCGCTTCAGATCTGACGGGGAACAGACTGAAGATCAGTAACAGATTCATCACCTTACTGAAGATGAAGATGAGAGGCATCAGTGTGACTAGACAAACGTGTGAGATCATGAGCCTGACGTCACGAGATCACACCAGCCGCCAGCAGAGGGAGCCGTGGAGCGTCTCATTCACACACACACACACTAGGCCTGTCTTGATGATTAAATAATCTAATCGCGATTATTTAATCTAACCACGGTTGTCTATTGTGCTTTTTATAGACACAAGGGGGAGTCATACACCATTATGATCATCAAGCATTATTTAATGATAGAACTTTAGTAATTAGAATTAAAACTTGGTAACCATGTATGAATGCATATTAGTTATTTTAACTGAACTTAGGACTGGTGGTGCTTAAGATATTGATGGTCATTCAGTGTTTCTGAAAAAAAAAAAAAAGAGGGAAAAAAAACGAACAATAATACTGATAATAATACTACTACGAATTCTACTACTAATAACAATATAAAACGCACTCCGGATTAATGAGCTGCTGGGGTCATGAATATTAATCACGGTGTTAGCGTTCGCTTGAACTGATTTGCTGAATCAAAACAGGGACGGTAATAGATGAATGCCAGCCAATGAGGTTGCCGTTTGCGCATTAGCTCCGCCCACTATCGAAGAAACAGGCAGTATCTTCTGCTTGTTCTTAAAAGCTGATTTCCAAATGAACTCCATTATTTTGACAGAAAAATACAATAAAGAACATGGTTTCCATGTAGCGCATCGATTCAGCGTGGTGTGTAAGACTCTCGCTCTCTTTCTCTAGAGTTTACGGTGCGTCAAATACAGGTGCGCTGCACATCCATTGAGCTGAACTGAAAAACAGCACAGATCTCTGGACGGAGAGAGAAACTCTGAAGCGCTCAGTCAGAGTGAAAATACATCTGTGATAAACTTGTACTTAACCTCCTACTTACACACTGGCCAGTAAAATCTGAGAATTTATTAGCAAGTGGCGAATGTTAGACATCAATTAGTCGCATATGTGAGTGATTTACTGGCGTTGTAGAGGGTTGTTATGGAGACGTTTATCATCACGTTCAGTGACTGAGGGATTCAGCCGCAGGAAGTGCCCGATTGTTTGTATTTTTACAAATATTCTCAGTGGTAAAACACTCGTCCTCGTCTGATGCGTGTCTGTCTGTTTGCTCACAGATGGCTCACGGATGAAGCCAAAGCTCGGAGCTCCGGCAGCCCAACGGGCAACAACACAACACACACACAAACCCTCTGAACACACACATCACCCACAATCCTTTTGGCATGACGCTGGTATCCATGACCAGGCCGCATGGAGTCTGTAAGAATCCACAGACGGTCCACAGATTCCCACCGAAACCAGACGGCCATCAGTCACGCCCTGCTGAACCCCGATCTATCAGCCTCCAGAGTTACCCACAATATGCCAATTAGAGTGGTGTACAGTGTGTGTGTGTGTGTGTGTGTGTGTGAGTGAGAGAGAGAGAGAGAGAGAGAGAGAGAGAGAGTGTGAGTGAGTGAGTGAGTGGTATTTTCAGCATCATTACTGCAGTCTTCAGTGTCACATGATCTTCGGAAATCATTCTAATATGCTGATTTGCTGCTCAAGAAACATTTCTGATTATTATCAATGTTGAAAACAGTCGTGCTGCACAATATTTTTGTGGAAACTTTGATACATTTTATTTTTCAGGATTCACAGATGAACAGAAAGTTCAAAAGAACAGCATTTATTTGAAATAGAAATCTTTTGTAACAGTATAAATGCATTTACTGTACAAGAGTAATATGTTTGTGTCATAATTTCTTCAGGTTAAACTGAACTTTTATTTAGACAGGATGTAGTGAAGATCTTTGAGTTTCTGTGTCTATTTGACAATAGTTTTCTCAAATGAAACGGTGAAGTGACTCTCAGAGCAGCTCTAAAGATGAAGCTCATGTGTTCATATTGAGTGACACAGACGAGCGTCACGCGTGTTTCAGTTTCAGTAGAGCAAACCTGCGGCGCTCATTCACACTTCATATTTCACACTTTATATTTCAGTCTTTTTGTGCTTTAATATTCATAGACACTAATCCATTTCGCCATATTTTATTGCCATATCAGTTTTGCCAGATTCCAGATACATTGTGTTATGCTGTAAATCCCATTTTTATGACTGGATTCCACGATTCCATCCACATTTTCCACATGGCGGAAATAATAGAGGCCTAATATACATATATATCTCACACACACACAGGGTTATTCTGAGGAAACCATAACCACACGCCTGCAAATGAAAGAACAGAGACACACGCCTATAAAACACACACACACACTCGCACACACACACACACACACACACACACACGCACACTCACTCACACACACTCACTCTTACACACGCACACACACACACACTCACACAAACTCACTTTTTTTTTCTCAGGTCTGTTCAACCCTGATGTTCAGTACACCGGCACTACAACAGTACCAGAGTAAAAAAACATTTACCATAGTACAGTATTACGTAGCTGATTTGTACAGATGACAGTGTGCCGTTATTCAGCAGATCAGACAGTAGGGCTGGGTATAGAGTTCGATACGTTTTAGGCACCGACCGAATTGCCTCGATACCATCGAGTATCGAAAAACGTCTCGTCGTTCGGTAACAAATTTTGATACCTAAGGGGTAACAGCGTCACCGGTTACACTCAGAGATGTGGCGCACACGCGAGGCTGTAGTGCGAATGCGTCCCAGCCCCCTTAGATGTAAGGCTACATTTACACTGGTGCGTTTTTGTTTTAAAATTAAAACTATCCTCGTCATACTGGCGTTTCCACCGTGTTTCAAGCCGGCTTTCCACTATCTACGACAAGCGACAGACCGGAAGTCATTCATTTGCAATGGAGAGTAGCGCGGGAGCTGCGTGGAGCTCCGATCATATGCAGATGTCCATTCATACTAACGTTACACGACCGAAATTGTTCAAATTGATTTCATAAAATTGGTATCGAAAAAAGTATCGTCCAGGAACCGGTATCGAAGTCAAGGTATCGGTATCTAAAATTTCTGAACGATACCCAGCCCTATCAGACAGTGAACTTTATCAAATAATCTAATCTAGACAATCTAGTAATTAATCTAGACAACTATTGAACTCAACACTTTCACTTTATTCTGCTTTCTTTCCTAAAAAGGGAAGTGAATTATATTAACAGCACACTTATGAGATGAACCACAGATTGCTGAACCAGTCAGCCGGGTTGGTCATGTGTTAACTAGTGTGTTTCATGTTGTTTGTTACTGAGCCGACTCAAAGCTCCAGACGTACAGCAGAGACTCAAACCCACGACCTTCACTAGCGGCCTGATGATCCGCATGAACATCTGATAGTCTGATGTTACTTCTAATCTGATATAATCTAATCTTTCAAACCACATTGTGACTAAATAAATATAAACAGGTAAACAAGTAAGGCAGGTTACTCTGATTTAGTTTCCATGTGTGGAAGCTGCTGACAGGCAGTAAATGAGATCGACTGAGAGACTTTAGAGCTGAAACACTGTCCTGTATGAAAGAATCACACCAAGCACCTGCTGAATCCCTTAATAGACGTCAATACAAACACTTACAATGACACTTCAGAAGACGGCCTCGATTAAGATGCAAAAATATCTTCAGAGGAGAGATCTGGAGAACCGGCGTGTTTGGCTGACCTCAAAACATCTGGAACAAAGAGACGCTCGAACACCTGAGAGAGACTGTGATGCTGAGAAACGCTGCGTCAGCAGATTCATGAGAAATCAGGATGTCCCAGCATTCCCTGTGAGCTGAGGAACGGCATGGAGAGGAATCGAGCAGGTCTACCGGAGTAAAGTTCATCTGGAGTCTAGAACGGTTCACATACGAACAAAAACCGGCCTGATGACTGCAGTGAAGAGCTACTGGTCTAACCCAGGGGTCTTCAACTACAATTGCTTGAGGTCCAGTAATGAACCCTCCTCACCTGCCGGACAACTATATACCTAAAAACATGAATTAATGGTTTTGGCCATTTGGAAAAAGTTTATAGTGCCCTATTGTTCAAAATGTTGAAATTGAGACTTTTGGACTTATTTTTTCACTGAAATAAATGTTTTTGTAATTACACAGAGTAAAGTACCGAAAAAAGATACCGTTGGGTACCGGCACCGAAATTCAGGTACCGTACCGGTTAAAATGTGAACGGTACCCAACCCTAGTTGTGTTGTGTGGACGGAGATCGTTTCTGAAAAGCTGTGAAAACGCCAGTGTAGACGAGGATCGTTTTCATTTTAAAATGCCGTTTTTTTTTAAACAGGGTCTGAAACTGCAGCTCATATTTATTCAATTAAATCACAGCCTTTTGAAGTTTAATCGTCACATTAAGCCACGTCGCAATTCTCGTCTTTCCATCCCCAAATTTAAGACCTCTCGAAATCATAAGGCTTTCTTGTACCATTTAAGTCTTTTTATGGCCTTACATTTGATACAACTAAATTCAAGACTTTAAGGACTCGTCAACTTTCCTAATTAGGGTTGGGAACCGAGAACCGGTTCTTATTCAGAACCGGTTCTGTTTTTTTTAAAAGAACCGGAACCGTGAGCAATTTCTAAGTTTCGGTTCCGAAAACGGTTCTGGTGTGACGCGTGACCAAGCGCTGTGAGCAGCCTTGCACCGGCTATTCCCTTAAAGGATGTCACAAACCAAATAACAGAAACGCCGCCCTGCCTCTTTAATTACTGAGCACACTGATACCCATGACGCGCACTCCACAGACGCGCCGCGTCTTTAACTGCCGAACACATCGTTTCCCACGCCTGTACGCGCACTCGCGTCTTTGATAACTGTGCACGTTGTTTTGTCTGACTGTACATGTACCGGCAGCGCGCAACTCCTGCCGCCACTAAATTACATTATATTTGTCCCATATTGTCATTAATATACATACTGACTTCAACTTGGACCACTAAATAAATAAACTATTGTTATGTAAGTATGAGGGTTAGATTATTTAGTGTACAGGTAATTTCAAGAGTGATAAACAAAGTGATGGAAAATATTTATTTTCATGCATTTTAAATGTTTAAAAATGTGGAAACCACTCATTGCATCACACCATCCCCTGACTGCATTATTATTTGTAAAACAGGGGCTTTATGGAGTGTGTGTATACATGGTTATAAGTATAACAGTTAATATTTCATTAATTTAGGGAAATTAACAAGTGTCTTAGCCCTCAAGGGACTATTTGGCCAACCAACTTATTCCTGCTTGAAAAGCAAAATGTTATTGATAGTGTAAAAAACATCAACTTTGAAGCACATGTGATTGATGGACTAACATACATTACTTACTAGGGCTGCAACAAACTATTATTTTGATAATCGGTTAATCTAACGATTATTAGTACGATTAATCGACTAATCGTCGATTATTTCGCTGATTAATCAGTAGACTTTGATTGATTATTCAGCGTTTGTAATTAACTAAAATATTGAGTTATACATATTCTAACAAATAAATAAAGGTAATCATTTCAGCTTTTGAAAATCATATTATGTAATTACAATTATTATACAATTAATTTATAAAAATAAATGTATTTGGCACAAAATGAGATGACAGACAGAGAAACTCTCTCATTCACCATTTAGTTAGCCACATGAAAAAGTCACTGAATGACTTCATTCTGCCTGACATCTCCTTTTGTAAGTCATATGGATAAGAAACAAAATAAAGGTAAGAGATGAGACGTTTTATTTTTGGATAAACTATTGTATTCACAACATAATCTCTCTTAAAATACCTTATGATAATCAAAACAGTCCTGAGCTAGATCAAGCTTTGATCTCTGCAAACCAAACTATCACTTTAATGAAATAATAGTTTTTCCCACTAATAAACAGATTTTATCATTAGCTCGCTCCACACTGGAGATCTGCTTTATAACAGAAAATCAGGTTGTAATTCTAACTGAAAGCGACACTGACTCTGGTTTTTCATGTTTAATACTGTAAAGCTGCTTGATTTAAGGCTATCTATTGCATAAAGTACTATATAAATAAATGTGACGTGACGTGACTTCACTGGAGTACTGAACTGCAGAGCTCGTGCAAACATCCACGTTTAAAAATGTGGAAACCACTCATTGCATCACACCATCTCCTGACTGCATTATTATTTGTAAAACAGGGGCTTTATGGAGTGTGTGTATACATGGTTATAAGTATAACAGTTAATATTTCATTAATTTAGGGAAATGAACAAGTGTCTTAGCCCTCAAGGGACTATTTGGCCAACCAACTTATTCCTGCTTGAAAAGCAAAATGTTATTGATAGTGTAAAAAACATCAACTTTGAAG